TGTCTACACTGCACGTGCGTTCTTGCGCAAGTAAATTTGCAGTATAGTGTTGTAAAAGGAAAGACGCTCTTTTCCGGCTTTTCTAAAAGCCGGAAAAGGGCTTCTTCGGAAGAGTTATTCCTCCCCCACGAAGAATAAGCCCTCTTGCGCAAGAGCTCTTCCGGTGTAGACAGGCAACATGAATTTCTTGCACAAGAAGCCCCTATGGTAAAAATGGCCATCAGAGCTTTCTTGTGCAAGAGAGCATCCACACTGCCATGGATGCTCTTCTAGTGGTGAAAGATGTTCCATGTTGTGTTAAAATGCAGATTGATCTGTTCCTGTCCCTCTACATTGCCAAAGAATGGCCACTTCACCAGTGATTAACAGTCAACTTATGTAAGGTCTACACTACAAAGAAAAGTTGGAATGGGGTATTGTTACTCCCTCACCTTTATAGTCCTGAGGATTAGTTACCCCTAGATAAAGTTCCTTTCAGTGCTTTCGAAAGAGACTTTTCCAAAATGTGGCGTCTACATGGCGCCAAATTTTTGAAAAACCTCCTCTTTCGGCACATCCCTTCTTCCTTGTAGAATGAGGATTACAGGGATGGCGAAAGAATGCATCTGCTTTTTTGGAAATTGTTCCGAAAAAGTGGACACATTATTTGGATGCGGCATTGCTTTTCCAGGATATATTTGGTATCCTGGAAAAGCTCTGCAGTCTAGACGTAGCCTTATGTTAGGAAAAAAAACTGCCCTCCCCGCCCCCGGTAAAAAGTTTGGCCAGGCTGCTCTTACTATAGTGGGCTGTAGTACTCCTCGGGAGAAACCGGCCGCACCCTTCCTGCACACCATTGCCTTTAGAAAAAGGGAAGGTGTGAAAAGGGGAAAATAGCCTCAGACTCTCCCACCCGTCACCTTGGCGTGAGAACTGCGGGGCTTACCTGGTCGCATGAAACCTGCTCAGTTTCGGCCCAACCCCTGGGACACAGACCCCCCCACTTGGTGACCATTGGGCCATATATGGTAATATGCAAGTGCGGGAAAGCGATGTGCAGATTTGGGGATAAATACCCATCGCACAGTTCACTCAAGGAGGTCTTCGCAACACACGTACCACCGTGCGTGTGCCTTCCCGTATACTCCAAAGTGCTGCTGGCCTGATCAACCGACCATCCACCTCCCCAGACTCTCGGGAATACCCAAGGCCTTCGCAACCGAACCGATATCTTGGAAATGTTCCGTGTGCTGTGTAAGTTGGTATGTATGATTTGATTTTTCTTGTTGTATAAGCTTAGTGTTATAGTTGTTTTGGGTAGTACATAGCGTTTGTAGTTATCACTGTTATTTAATTAGTGTACCTGGATATTTTTAGAATAGAGACTATTCCCCTTGCCATTCCCATCCTTATATCTCTGACACGTTTAACTAGAAATCATAGAATAAATATAAATAAATACTGTAAACTCGTTATTAACACGGTCCATTAAAATCTCAGAATAAATACTATAAATTCATCACTGTTATAAATAAATATTTTTTATGTGATAAAACGGTCCACCTGGTTCTGTCCTTCCCCGCTTGGGTATGCATCATCAGACCTGTGATTCTCGCGACACCTTAGATGATACCTGCCTAGAGGTATTAGCTTGTACTTTGTCTTTAAAGAACAACTTTACCCCTTCCCCAGACTTGTCTGGTGTAAACACTTCATCATGATTTAATTTTATCTTCATAACTTTACATATAGTGTTGCAACACCTATTTCACCATGATATTGACCAGTGAATTATTATTTTTCAAATGATACTTCACCAGGCCTTTTTTGTACAGAGTTTATTAGTGCATTGGGTGCATTCAAAATTAGTTTTACGGGGTGCTCTGAGAAGCCTGGCAAAGTTGTACTAGCATTGGGCTCTTTAAGGTGTTGCAGTTAGCTGCACCTTTCTAGTCACAAGCTCACAACACTGTTGCAAAATACACAGCCTTGGTTGACTAAGCTACACTCTTGTTAAATGGAAGACAAAAGGAGAGAGAAGGCAATGAAGAAATAAGGGGATGGAAAAGGACATCAGAGGATGTGGAAGTGACAAGTGCCACAATTGAATTAGAAATTTTTACAGTAAACTGCCGATAATCCGGCCCCTTTAGGACCCAGGGGGTGCCGGATTATCAGATATGCCGGACTATCAGAAGGGGAGACTGAGGGGTCTGGGGTGGGGTGGGGGGATGCCACCCAAGACCCCTCATAGCCCCCCTTCCGATAGTCCGGCTCTACCCTAGGTGTCCCCGATTCAGCCGCTGCTGGTCAGTTTCAGCAGCATCTGAATCGGGATGCCTGCGGCAGAGCAGCTCCAATTGTCCGGCTGCCCCGAACACTTCCGGGTTCGTGATGGTGCCGGACCATCAGGAGTGCCAGAGCATTGGATGCCAGACTAATGGCGTTTTACTGTATTTCCTTTTATTAGTTACTTTCACCTTTTGATTCAGTTGAATGTCCCCTTAGTTCTTGTGTTATGAGACAAGGAGACGAAAGTTCCCAGTCTACACTATTCTATACCATTCATTATTGTATATGCTTTTATCATGTCCCCTCTTACGTGTTTCCCTTTCTAATGTAAACAATCCCAATTTTTTTCAGTCTCCCATATGAGAGTTTATTGTGCTCCGTGGTTGTTCTCTGAATCCCCTCTAATCCTGCAATAACTTTTTTCAGCTGAAGTGGAGTAGTACTGCACATAGTATTGTAAATGAAGCTGCAATATTGATTTATGGAAAGTCATCCTGCTGCTGAATGGCTCCTGCTGCAAAGGAGGGGAGCCTCTGCAGCCTGATTTCATTGGAATGATTGAATAGAGCTGTGACAGTAGAATTACAGAGATATGTTCCCTATGTTGCTGCAGGGCTGATGCTACCCAATGCAAAGTACAGGGAAGGGTGGAGTTTCTGCTCTGCCCTGCCCTGCCCAAGTCTCCCCACTCCCCGTAGACCTGTAAATAATCAAAAGGGTAAGATCAGAAACAGCAGCGCAGGGAGCCCTCTGCAGCTCAGCTGTCATAGAAATAAGTGAGTGAATTCATGACAATGGAATGGCAGAGGGCTCCCTGTGGTGGTGTTCCTGCCCTCTTGCTTATCCAGACAAAATCTGTGTCCCCTGTGATAAGAAGATAATCAGGAATATACTGTAAATTTCTGAATTTGAAAAGGTTCAGATAAATAAATAAATATATAGAGATAAATCTTTATTTTTATGTTTGACTAGACATGATATAACATAGAGCATAGGTTCCCAAACCGGGGGACGTGAAGAAATTCCAGGGGGGGTGCAAGGCAACCCAGTCCCCTGCCCCACAAGTTGTGCTGCTATTTTTTGTTTTTGGCCCCGGTCAGTTCTTTTTTTTTTTTTCTTTTGCTCAACAAGTTTTGCTGCTATTGGAGGGGCGAGGGGGAGCGTGAGGGTTTCTCAAAAATTAAAAAGGGGACGTGATATAGTGTGTTCTGTTCATTGGAAAGTTGCCTTAAATTTTAAATGACAGCTGAAGTTAGTGGGAGCAATGAATTCTCTGAAAATTACACACAAGGTATCTCCATTGGGAGCATCTACAATCTGAAATATGTCACCTGTAACTTGCTCAAAGTCACATAGTGAATTTATGCCTGAGCCTCTGATGCAGGGGTTCTCATTCCCAGCTGAATATCTCATCCATGAGCACATATAGGAGATACTGTATCCTTATGAGACATTGGGAGGAATTACTAAACAAAAGTGCCAATGCTAAGGTTGGTTGATTTCAATCACTGATTTTAGTAATTCAAATAATTGAATTTAATCTTTTCATGTTTATACATTTTGTTTTCCTAAAGATAGTTTAATTTTCATTGGCTGGTAGCCATGAACACCTGTTGATTTGCCACTAAACATAGCCTCTGCACTAATATTGGTGTTCCTATTTGCCAACCAGGAGAACACATGCGATATGTATACACAGGTAAGCAATTATGTAGTTTAATTTACATTTATTCACATTTTAAATGTTTACTTTTTTGTTACATTAGAAAATGGTGAATGATGCATTTCTTTATTAAATTATTAATTTTAATTTGTGTCAAGCTATGTTTGGTTAGAAATCCAAATTAAATAAAAAATGCAGAAAACCAGCACTTGGAAATGTTTTGATTAGATATATCAAAGGATATATAAGAAGTTTTATCAAAAAGTATATGAAAACATATTTTTTGCCTATTGCGATTTAAATGTAAAACATCTGCTCATGAATTGATTATGTTCTTCACAATTTTAGAACTAGTCAATCTTATCACAAACCTAGCTTGTATTCATATTTTTGGAAGCTGAAACTTTCTCAATTCCCACTTACTTTTCTGAATGGAAGTAGTTGATTAAACTGAAATAAAAAAGAGAATATCTTTACACGTGCAGAAAAGGCTATTTATTGTTGGTTTAAAACTTTAGAAGTACTTTAACAAACTCTAGTTACAAGTGAAGCAAAATGCAGGACAATGTAGCACTTTAAAGACTAACAAGATGGTTTATTAGATGATGAGCTTTCGTGGGCCAGACCCACTTCCTCAGATCTGAGGAAGTGGGTCTGGCCCACGAAAGCTCATCATCTAATAAACCATCTTGTTAGTCTTTAAAGTGCTACATTGTCCTGCATTTTGCTTCAGCTACCCCAGACTAACACGGCTACATTTCTATCACTATTCTAGTTACAAGTGATTGCCAGGGGTTTCAGAGGCTAGACTTGTTTTAAAAAAGTAGCAGCAATGGTGCATTGTTCCTTTTTACATGAGTATTCCAGTCTTAACATAAGACCACTGTAGGGCGCCTGCGCGTCAGCTAGCGCCTACTGAGTCACAGCTGCACCCAGGCCGCGGACGCATGGAATTGTTCGCCCAACCAGGAAGGATGCATCATGGGATTTGTGGTCCGGGGAGCTCGTGTTTGCCGATGAGAAGCGACTGAAGAACCACGTTACCCAGGCGCCACTGCGGCGCGGATGATGAGGCCGGGGAGGGAGCGTTCTAGTGTTTCCGAGGGGGCGACTACTGGTGGGCGGCACTTGGGCGCTGTGAGCCAATGGGAAGGCGGCGGGGCGGATCGCCGGAGCTGGGCGCGCCGCTGCAGGAGGCAGGTAGGGGCCGCACACAGGCTGTGGGGTGGGTGCGCGTGGCCATTCCGCGGCGCGGCCTGGGCAGCGCTAGGTCCCGAACCGCCGTCTCCGCGCC